ACCATCTGGTTCACTACAGGGTCCCGCCCTTATAAGGATCAACATGTTACTCCTGGCCCCCGTTTCNCTAATTTAATATTTTCATAAGACAAAGGCATTATTTTGCTTTATCAACGATAAAATCTGAACTAAAACTTTTGAGAAAGTCGCTATCAGAGTTTTGGGGAACTAAATGGTGTCATTAAAGCGGCGCTAAAACGGTGATCGTGGATGGTCAGGAGGAGAAGTTTGAGAAATCGATTTTTAGTTTTTACACCAATATCGCAAGTATGAGGTCACCCGTAGGATGAAATATGCGTAGATACTATTTATTTTAGTCACTGAATACTGAAGATCTATTACCCAAAAGAATATATGTAAGGCAGTTAATAAGGAGTTTTGGTGGAAGGATGACATCTTGGCCACTGTGTAACGTCAAACAAGTCTAGAAAACGTGCGAGAATCTGCGTTAGGTGTAGCTAATATTTAAGCAAAAAGAGTGAAACTCTATATGCCGGAATTGTCATCTTTGAAAGCAATACAAAAGTAATACATAGAACATGTTGACTACGTACACTGTTGTACAAAAGACTGTAGTTTTTAGAAAAAGAATAAACAACCAGGAAAACCATGTGTAAGTTTCTGTCTTGTATACCTTGTCGCACCGTCTTCCATTATACGCAGGTACGCGAGTCTTAGGGTGCATTCCTAGAGATTTAGATCGATCCAGAGATTTAGATTTAGATCGACCTAACTCCCTGGAGATTCACGTCAAATTGCAGTCAGTCGAGCATGCACCATATTTAATTACCCCCTTACAGCTTTTAGTAGGCGGGACAGACGCTTAAGCCGGATAAGCTGACAGTAATCTAGTGAGACTCCCCACAGGGATAGATCGATTTAAAATCTATGGGGATGGGGTCTTAGAGAAGCCCGTTGTTGTCCTTTTACACCCTATGATTTAACGCTGATCAAATATATATATCAAAGACAGAGGCAAAGATTTGTGGTGCAGGGTCGCAATACAAAACATCGGGCCATTGCCTTATGTGAAAAAAAAGAGGCCATCACTTTCCAAGTGACTAAATTATTTAGTAGAACAAGTAGAATAAGGCATCGAATCCAACTGGAGGAACGTACCGAGTACAGATTCTCGATTACCTTTTTTTCAGGAAAATTCATTTGGCAGGTAAATCCCGCGGAGAGAGCCTTTAAATATCATATTGAAAGAAGAAAAAATAAGTCTGCATCCACATTAATGCAGTTTTATCATTGTACACGTGCCTTTGTAGTATACCTCCGATATCAGAGTCCGACTATGATAATAAGTGTATCAATATTTCAGGCTGGATGGTTATGGTGAACGACGACTATCAAGCCAGCGGTACCTTCAACATGGTTTTACCAAAGGGAAGCACCATTTTATACTGCGATTACATCATTCCCCTTTGTGATAGCACTGGAAAGAATAACAAGAACAAAATGAGCAAGTACAACTTCTACTACGGCAATCCTTCATGCCGCAATTTCTTCAACCAGTCAACATTGAAGATCCACTACGAAAGCGCGACGTACACTTTAGGTGTTGATGGCGTCTTCGTTATTGATTGTGTTGTCAAGGAGATGTCGTTTGGGACTGGCGTGGCACGCGGGGTGCTGATTATAGAAGACGGTAATAGATACTCTATTCGCAATGTGTTGACTTTTCCTGCGTCAAAGCCTTAAATGAGGATATTTCGTAAGTCCCGGTGTAACAGGAAAGGAAGTCCTAGGAATGGACGCACGGGCTCCCATGTGATTAATACAGATTACGGTTAGTCGGAGCATTGGGGTCAGTATATGGGACGAATATCACCTGTAAAAAGTAATGGGAAGTGGGCTACGGTTCCTAGCGGACTTCCACTCCTTTGACACCGGGAATGTCGTCTTCGAAAGTATTACAAAAGTGATACGCAGAACACGTTGAATACGCTTACTGTTGTACAGAAGACAGTAGGCCTTAGTTCTACAGAATGAATAAACTTTCAGAAAAACAAATGGGTAAGTTTCTGCTATGTTTTATTCCTTGTCGCACCGCCTTCTATATATCTGACCCTATCCACTTCAAATCCCGCGGAACCTCGCTGGACGAGAAAAGACCTACGTATTATCTTCGCTGTTTCCTGTACGAGTGACCTGCCAGCAACTGTTTAAGTCACGTACTATTTTTACTTTCTTTTTGGCAAGAATGCGCCCATATACTGCCATTAAGTTAATAGAATATTTAGTTCATTTTCATGGTGAGAAACGTATGTACCGTTTCCTAGCCACTACCATGAAAAACGATAAATTAATCCTAAATCATGTGGCGTGTTATTTTTAAACGGATGTTGCTAAATGGAATTTTGCTAGGTAGATATCGATTAAGTTTGACTTTCAAACTGCTCTTTCTATACTGTAAGGATTTTGACAAAAAGAAAAAGAGATGACGTCACCCCCTAACTGGCCTGGGGGATGACGTCATCTGCTTCCACCAGGCCAGTTAGGGACAGGACTTTCGCAGCTGTTTTTACGCCATTCGAATGATAACTTTTGCCTGCTCGGGCTATAAATGTCTCGTCCGATACAATATGGTAGGAGAAGTATCTTGTTAACACATCTGTTGCACGCCATGGACTGTGTTCAAAGGCAAGCACTGAACGTATCAGGGAAAGTCTTAGCAATTAAGTCCAAATATCTGTATGAATAATAAATAATAAGTAAAATACATGTATGTAAATGTTCACTGTAATGCTATACCATTTGGGCAAACGCACAGAATGTAAAACTAACCGGTCTAATTTTAGAATTAAATTTGAAATATACTTTCTGTCATAGTTAGTCCTCTTCGTGAATGGGTTCACATAAAGCAAAAGCCCGGGCATATTGCTATGGCATCTGCACCAACAACGCCATGCCCCGCTATGACTGCGTCCGTCCTCACTTACATCGGAGACGCAAGATCCGATAATCCCTTCCACGGAATACGCAGTGAGATTCTGGCTCATCACCAACTGGCAGGGAGAACCGAGGCTGACGCTATTCAGGAGGGGAAAATGGTGACTGTCTGGCTGATAATATGTCTTGCTTTTATATTTTTTATTCCTTAATTATTGTCAGAAGACCAGCTTATTTACCAGAATTGAACAAACTGAGATTTTATGTTACCTTGATCTCATTTGGCCGAATATTGACGCGAGTTCACCAGATTGCAGTTCCAAACTGTCTCTCGCCTGAATATCTTCATGAATTTTAGACATAAATAACATCTTAATGGAAGAAATTAATATTTGTTCTGATAGCTGCTTATTTGCAAAAGTAATCTTTACATCAATCCCCATGTTCAATAATAAATTATTTGAATCCTTGCCGTCTGTTGCCAATAGAAGATTGTAACCCAATTTAACCCACCAAGATATCAGCCGCATTTAGTTTATCTTTCGGAAGAAAACACGGCATCGACTTCACTGATGAGGAGGACGACGTGTAAATACAGGGTGTATTAAAAAAGTGAACAGTTAGAACAATACCCAGAAAAGAACATAAGTAGCAGTTAACAGGAAACAAAAGGTTAATTGGAAGGTTTTTAATTTGAAACCCATTAACAGAACCATTTCATGGCAATTAATCAACCTTTTGCGGAAAAAAACTTCTCGAAATAAAAAAATTCATCCTCATGACGTAATTTGACCCTGCTCAGTCATACGTGAAAAGACACGACAATCCATGGTGTGCATTGATGCATAATTTCCCTACGAACCTATATTTACATTAACATTTGTTATATGAAATAAAATTTTTAAATTCTGGGTATTTTTCAAAGTGTTCACATTTTTGATACACCCTGTAGATAGCACCCAGGCTGTAACAAGCGCTGACGGCTCCGTAACTTTCACTGCCTAGATAGTAGACCCCGCTGTCAGATACAGGCTGGTATCGGCCAGCAAACAACATGAGGTGGAATTATTTAACGCCATTATTTCCGAAGCAGGTACGACAATATCTCAGAAGCCTGTTATTGACCACGCATAGTATATGGTGTAATATTTTTGTACGTTGATCACATATACACCAAAGAGAAATGAAAAAAAATCGACGTGTTGTTTGCAACCAGATGACACTACACAGTTAACTTTTTTTTTTCTTTTTTTTTTTAAGTACAGAATCCTGTTACAGTGATTGAAGGACCGTATATATTTCTTGAAATGAAGAATGCCCAACGTTTAGTCTAAAAGTGAAAATTTATTTCAGCGCTATCGACCACCCGAGTGTGTATGTAGACACACGCATGACTTCGCCATTTCATAATGCTAGACACGTGTCAACGAAATTTAACCCCTGTCGCGTGAAAACATTGAGCTAATTTTGGATAATCGTCAGGCTTCTCACATTGAGGAATGGGAATGAAAGTGCTGACTAACTCCGGTTATGTTGTTTACACTGTAATCAGTCATCTACTTGCCATTCCCAACGTGTCACTTTTCAAATTCTCTGGTTTGTTAAGTCACGAAGTGTATAAGCAAGGTGACATATTAAAGTGTTGTTGAAGGCGAAGGCTGCGAACTTCTATTATAGAGATGAGTTTCTGCCAATGCTAGGTGTACAAGTTAGTTTTTACCTTTTCCATTCGCTCATATATTTGTATCCTAAGTGACATCGTTTTTAATGCGTTATATCCGAATGAAACCCCTATAATATATATATATATATATATATATATATATATATTATTGACTTTTATAAATTATATATTATATATTATTCCACTCAAAACACGTGGCCATCGCAAAATTTGGTTTTTACAAACAAAAACACCTTATTGACTTTTTTGCCCTTGTCCAGGGACGTATTTCTTAAAATAAAGCAAGACATTAAAACTCGCAAGTCACCGTGTTTATCTCTTGTGTAATGCTTTGAAAGGCGCCAGAAGTCCTAACTAATGTCTGCTTTGACAGTTTGCCAGACGTGGAAAAGAACGTCGATACGGTTGCCGATCAGGTAATTAACGGAGCGTACAGATGTCTATAAATGAAGATTTTGATGCAATGTTGTTGAAGTATCTTATCAAAACTTCACCTTCACGACATGGACGCTGCTCTAAGGTAAGCTCTGTCATAGGGCGAAGAGATATTTTGAAGAAATACGGGTTCAGGGATTATTAATTGATAAGTTTTGTTGAATTTGGAAAACTTGTAATCGTGTTAGGGAAAATGCAATATTTTGAGGAGAAAATGGCCAGAACTAAAATAAACCAATCTAAGCTTCAAATTTCATTTAAAAGCGAAAACGTTTTGGCCATGGTAGGCCTGCAGTTGGTACTGGTGATACCGACAGTTTACGAAAAGGGTAGGGACGCTCGGAATGTCGATAAGATGTAGGCTACCTGTGGTAGATTATTTTTATTCCCCAAAAGATGTTAACCTCCTTAATTTTTTCTTCATATGTGCACATAAACTGTCCAGAACTGTCCTCCATTATGTTGAAACCACTAGAGCCTTCATCTCGCTGTACCAATTAGAGCATATCGCTGTCTTTCAAAAGTGTTATCTTGTCCTTCTCTGCAGCACTCGGGTGTGGCTCTTGGTCTGCTTCCTCGGCCTGATAGAACTGGCGAACGCTGGGCTATATTACTATTACAAAAGCCGCCATGACACCTGCGCTAGGGAAGCCACGCCCTGCTACGACTATGCCCTGACTTTCGTTATGGACGGAAGCAGCGATGAATACCTTGGCAACAACCGCAGTGAGATTTTGGCTCATCACCAACTGGCAGGAAGAACTGAAGCAGACGCCATTCAGGAGGGGAAAATGGCGACCGCATGGCTAAAGGTAGAATCCATTCATTTTGTCTTCTTTTATTTGTAGACTGGAATCAGAACTTAGTGTTGTCTGACGATTGGGTTGCTTAATAAAGGTTTAAACCGTCTGCCTTGTTATGATACCTTACTTTTATTTTGCCAAATGGCGACGTGAGTTCTCATGATTGTCGTTCCATACTGATCCTTGTCTGAATACATCTTCATGNATCATCACGGATGAGAAGCAGGTAAAATCGAAAACGGCAATGTCCTGTTGTCGCCATAATCGAGACACTGTAATGTACCTCAGGTCGCAATATATTCATTCTAATAAAAGTGAGTATAAACATATATTTTGATAACGTTAAGTAGATATACATCGATCTATCCTTCAGGTTGGGTGGTCATGGTGAACGAAGCCATCTCTGCCGGCGGTACATTTAACAGGACGCTGCCTCGGGGTGCCAAGATCTTCTACGGTGACTACGTCATCCCCCTTTGTGATCGCAGTGGGGTGAAGAATAAAAACAACTATTATTCATGCCGAAATATCTTCAACCAGAAAACTCTCAAGATCCACTACGAAACTAGCACATACTGTTCTAGTGTCGACGGAGTCAGCGTTATTAACTGTGTCGTCAAGGAAACGTCATGGGGGGTCGGCGCAGCACGTGGCGCGTCGTTTGTGGAAGGCAATAAATACTGTGGTCGCAGCGTGCTCACTTTTCCCGCGTCAAAACCATAGATGAGGCTTTTTCATAACTCCTCGCACGTGGTTTTTGACATTTTGAAATAGACAGTTATGACAAAAATACTAAAATTGATTCAGATATCCATTGCGTGTTAAGACAAAATCCAATGATAAGTCTCTGTCAGTTCATTTCTCCATAGCATGGGATATATGTCTCTCAAGGCAACTGTCGACTATACAGTGAATTAGCCATGAGACAATATAAATAAAAGACAATTACCTTGAATTCCTGCAAGATGTTTTTGTATGTCATTTTGTACTGCAACAGATTGTCCAATTCCGTAGCTATTCCGTAAATATTTGACTAATTTCAATACTGTTTGTGCGTGGTTTTATATCTCTTATATTCTCAAATGAAAATACGTTTGAATGCATACCAATCTTTTGAACAATGTGTCATTTAAATGAATATAGTATTGATTTACAACGTACAAGGAAAATAATTTGAGCCAAAATTTCAGTTGCCCAGGCAAAAGAGTACAAATGTACTTTTCACACATTTTAATCTAGAACTGTATGTAAACATCCAAGGAGGTATGTGCGACATGTTGCAATAAAACTTGTTTTCCTCTCAAAGTTCGTTTAATTACCTAGGTGTCTGTCCTTAATGCAAACTTAATAATAATGCTCTGATAAAACGGATGGTTGTCAAGGTGCATTAATTGTTGTGTTTGTACAACTGTTTATGTACCATCAAGATATGTTATGGGGTTTTATGTAAGGTTAGTGGCTGCTTTCTCTATCATGTTTGAACGTCTTATCACAATATTAAAGAGTAGTAGAACAGATTTTTTATTTAGTAAAGTGTTAGTGTTTTGCATTAATGCAGATATGTTTTATCCCTCTCTCCTCCCTCTCTCTCAAATAAGCGACAAAGTACTTTTTCATACGTTCATATGTCGTAGTGTCAGTTTCATAGACAGCAGTACATTATTTTAGGAGAACAGTGATTCCCTCTTTGGTTGCTGTGTACGTGGCAGTAACGTTGGGCTCAGGCATGAACAGCTACGGTTATTACAACCCCGGGGTAAATATGCAGTTCTATATGTATGGGCCCTGGCAACATTTATAATGGACGGGTTTGCTAATGTTGCAAATCTCCGAGGATCCCGCAGCAATATTTTGGCTCATCACTGATTGGCTGGTCGCTCTTTAACAGACATTGAGGAGGGAAAGAGAGGAGCCGCATGGCTGAAGGTAAAATCTTTCGTCTTTACTACTCACCCTGTTTCCTCTCTCTCTCTCTCTTGAATATTGACAAAATCTTCATTTCGAAGATATATGACCATTTCTGTCCATCACAAATACTGCTGGTAATGACACATGCCCTTGGTCTTAACTATTAAAATACTTAAACAGGTAGCAGTGGGAAATTTGGGTAAAACAGATAAAAGATAGTGGTTCTGAAATAAACATCACATCAGAAAGATGAAACTGCGTGATATTGTCCTAACCATAGATTCTGTAACTTAAAGGCCATTCTGTGAATAATGTATTTATTATTCAAATGTCTGTGTCTTGGAATTTTTATTTTGCTTCGGCGGATTAAAAATCTGCCTGCATTTCAAGCTTGCAGGTAACATATATATATATGTGTGTGTGTGTGTGTGTGTGTGTGTGCGTGTGTTACTTATATATATGTTACTTATTTCTTAAAATAACGAAAGACATTAAAACCCGCAAGTCACCGTGTTTATCTCTTGTGTAATGCTTTGAAAGGCGCCAGAAGTGTTGACTAATGTTTGCTCTGATAGTTTGCCAGATATGCTGCTAGTGGAAAAGAACGTCGATACGGTTGCCGATCAGGTAATTAACGGCGCTTACAAATGTCTATAAATGTCGCTTTTGATGCAATGTTGTTAAAATATCTTATCAACACATCACCATTACAACATGGACGCTGCTCTAAGGTAAGCTCTGCTACAAGGTAAGAAGGGATTATAAAGAAATACGGGTTAAGGGAATAATTCATTCATAAGTTTTGTTTAATTTGGAAAACTTTTAATCGTGTTTGGTAAAATGCAATATTATGAGGAGAATATGGCCAAAACTAAAACAAACCGAACTGCAATCTTGAAATTTCATTTAAAAGCGAAAACTTGTTGTAGCCATGATACTCCTGTAGTTGATAATGGTGAACATGATACCGATGGTTTACGACAGGGGATAGGGAACGCTAAGAGAATCATTAAGTTGTCACTGTAGTAGATTGTTTTCCTTTTTTTCTTCCTATATGCAGATAAACTGCACTTGCCGGTGTCCAGTACTGTCCTCCCTCATGTTTATTTAGTATAAGATGTTTCCACTATATGATGTAATGTGTTACAATGCTTTTTTCTACCATTTATGTTGATTATTCATGGCACTCATGGTGGCCACAACTGTGGTCCACTTGCCGTGGCACTGGTCATGTAACACTCGTTTTAAATGCCCTTGTCGTTTGTTAATTTTAGCCTTGTATCGTTTTTGTCTATTATATTATTTTATTGTGCTTGTGTTGTGTTTGTCTTTTATAGTCTTGTATTGTGTCTGTCGCCCCGGGCCCAGTTTCATCAACACTTCGGATAAATTGTTATCCTCTGGACTGTAATCCTGCAGCCTTTTTTACCCACTGGAAAGCAAAATTAGATACAAAAATTACTATCTTGTGTTTAGTAAACATTACTTTACCCACAGGATATTTGTCCAATAGATAACAATTTTATCTAATGGATGGTGTTATCCAAAGGATAGAGCTGTATATAGTGTTGATGAAACTGGGCCCAGAGGATTTGACGGGAAAATAATTCTTATAGCTCAGCATGACAGTTCACGGTGTGTGTCGGCCTTTAATTTTAAGCCGAGATAGCAAGGAGGTTTTTGGAAACCACTGAAGCTTTCATCTCACTGTACCAATCAGGGCATATCGCTGTTATTCTAGAGAGTTATCTTGTCATTTTTTGCAGCACCCAGGTGTGGCTTTTGGTCTCCTTCCTCGGCCTGATAGGACTGGCAAACGCTGGGCAATATTACTATTACAAAAGTCGCCATGACACCTGCGCTAGGAAAGCCACGCCCTGCTACGACTATGCCCTGACTTTCGTTATGGACGGAAACAGCGATGAATACCTTGGTAATAACCGCAGCAAGATTTTGGCTCATCACGAATTGGCAGGAAGAACTGAGGCGGACGCCATTCAAGAGGGGAAAATGGCGACCGCATGGCTGAAGGTAGAGTGAATTCATTTTGTTTTCTTTTAGTTGTAGAATGGGATAAGAACTTACTGCTATCTGACGATCGGGTTCTTAATCAGGGTCTAAACCGTTTCCGTTGTAATGGTACCTTACTTTTATTTTGCCAAATGTTGACGTGAGCTCTCCTGATTGTCGTTCCAAACCAGTCCTTGTCTGAATACATCTTCATGGTTTCCGACTATGAAAAACATCTTTGAAGGGCTATAATTCGCATTTAAAGATGATAGGTTGTAGGTAACAGCAATCATTTAGAAATTTATGAGGGATGTCAAATGCTAGTAGAAATCTTGAGTGAGCTCCCGTGGTTCAAAGTTCACCCAAGGATGAGAGTTCATCGAGAAAGAAATCTGCAAAATATGGAAGAGCACCGCCAAACTTCCTCAATCTTAACATGACCTATCTCAATCTTTTATTCTGTTCTGAAAAAGAACGGAACTCTATTGATTTCATCAACATACGATTAAATTGCTAATGGTTTGTTTAATCAATTCTTCCTAGTGTTTGTTAACATAATCTCACGCTTTATTTCAAATTAACAAATGTCAATATTATTTAACCCAATCAGATGTGTTTCAACTTCCGCTGCTTTACATTCAGACAAAATACGGCATTGACTTCACCGGTGTAGAGGATGACACCTACTTAGATGGCACCAAGGCAGTAACAAGCGATGACGGCACACTAACCTTCAGAGCCTTCATAGTGGACTCTGCTACCAGGAACCGTTTTGTGTCGGCCAGCAAGGCCCACAAGGTGGAGTTCTTTAACGCCCCGATTTCTAAAGCAGGTACGGTTATTTCTGTAGCCCGATATTGACCATGTGCATCATATGACATTATTTCTGTGTTGTCCGTAGACAGCACATAAACTATTACTACTACTACTACTACTACTACTACTTCTACTACTATTTCACTCACAGGTGTAAATTCACAAACGTACACCAGTTCACATATACACACTTGCAAGCACAATCACAAATGCACTGTGCGCACGCACGCACGCACGCACACACACACGCACGCATATGCATTTACACACAGATACTTATCATACATAGGCACAGATATTTTCATACCAGATGTTTATCATCACGGATGAGAAACAGGTAAAATCGAAAACGGCAATGTCCTGTTGTCGCCATAATCGAGACACTGTAATGTACCTCAGGTCGCAATATATTCATTCTAATAAAAGTGAGTATAAACATATATTTTGATAACGTTAAGTAGATATACATCGATCTATCCTTCAGGTTGGGTGGTCATGGTGAACGAAGCCATCTCTGCCGGCGGTACATTTAACAGGACGCTGCCTCGGGGTGCCAAGATCTTCTACGGTGACTACGTCATCCCCCTTTGTGATCGCAGTGGGGTGAAGAATAAAAACAACTATTATTCATGCCGAAATATCTTCAACCAGAAAACTCTCAAGATCCACTACGAAAGTGGCACATACTGTTCAAGTGTCGACGGCGTCACCGTCATTAACTGTGTCGTCAAGGAAACGTCGTGGGGGGTCGGCGCAGCACGTGGCGTGTCGTTCGTAGAAGGCAATAAATACTGTGGTCGCAGCGTGCTCACTTTTCCCGCGTCAAAACCATAGATGAGGCTTTTTTCATAACTCTTCACACGTGGTTTTTGACATTTTGAAATAGACAGTTATGACAAAAATACTAAAATTGATTCAGACATCCATTGCGTGTTAAGACAAAATCCAAAGATAAGTCTCTGCCAGTTCATTTCTCCAGAGCATGGGATATATGTCTATCAAGGCAACTGTCGACTACACAGTGAATTAGCCATGAGACAATATAAATGAAAGACAATTACCTTGAATTCCTGCAAAATGTTTTTGTAAGTCATTTTGTACTGCAAGGGACTGTCCAATTCCGTAGATATTCCGTAAATATTTGACTAATTTCAATACTGTTTGTGCGCACCTTTATCTTTTATATTCTCAAATGAAAAATACGTTTGAATGCATACCAATATTTTGAACAATATGTCATTTAAATGAATATAGCATTGATTAACAACGTATAAGGAAAATAATTTGAGCTAAAATTTCAGTTGCCCAGGCAAGAGAGTATAAATGTACTTTTCACACATTTTAATCTAGAACTGTATGTAAACATCCAAGGAGGTATGTGCGACATGTTGCAATAAAACATCCATCAATAAAACTTGTTTTCCTCTCAAAGCTCATATAATTACCTAGGTGTCTGTCCTTAATGCAAACTTAATAACGATTACACGACTACAGTGCTCTGATAAAAAGGATGGACGAAGTCGCCAAGGTGCATTAATTGTTGTGTTTGTTCAACTTTTTATGTACCATCAATATATGTTAGGGGGTTTTATGTAAGGTTAGTGTCTGCTTTCTCTATCATGTTTGAACGTCTTATCACAATATTTAAGAGTAGTAGAACAGACTAATTTATTTTTGTAAGGTTGGTGTGTTTTGCATTAAAGTAGACATGTTCTCTTCCTCTCTCTTCCCTTCTCTTCTCTCTCTCTCTTTCTCTCTCTTAAATAAGTGATACAGCACTTTTTTCATACGTTCATACGTCATTGTGTCAGTTTCATAAACACCAATACATTATTTCAGGAGAACAATGATTCTCTCTTTGGTTGCTGTGTACGTGGCTGTAACGTTGGGCTCAGGCATGAACAGCTACGGTTATTACAACCCCAGGGTAAATATGCAGTTCTACAAGAATGGGCCCTGGTATAACCGCCCAGACACGTGCCTGAAACCAGACACGCCGTGCTTACAACTATGGCCATTTTTTACTGCACGGCATGCTGTACGTTGCACTATCGCGTCTTGGCGCTAAAGATAGATTGAACGTCTACTCTCCCACTTCTGCTACCTGCAATGTTGTGTACAAGGAGGTATTGAAAATGTAAATTTCAGCTCCTTTTATTTATTTTAATTATTATTATTATTATTATTATTATTATTATTATTATTATTATTATTTTATTTATTTATTTATTTTTTGTAAAAACCAATGCATTTTTCTACAATATATGAATTTTTCCCTTCGAACCCGTGTGTTATACCAATCTACTGTATTTTTTGAACAGTACACGAGCCCTACACGTCCTTTGGATGGTTACTTATCTAGCATTAAAAGGTTTTATTTCGTAGATTCCTCAAAACTGTGTACTTCTGGTTTAATAATGTTTGGAGCGACTCCATAGTCGACATGAAAATGGTAAAGACTATTTGAAACAAAATTGTTCTGCTCCCGACCGCTTTTGTTTTAGCTGAATCTCACTGCTTAGTAAAATAATAATAATAATCATAATAAAGACAATTAGCATAATCAAAGCTCATTGGATTTTATTTCTAAAACGTCAAATTAAGAGTAGCACCATATGCCATATCCAACATGTGCCTGTAAAAATTATTCACATGGAAATAAAAAAGAAAATAACGTCAACTAGTTTCATTTAGAGACAAAAAAGAAGTCAACAGTTACATGTAACAATAAGAACCCATTAAGTATAAAAGTTACTGTGAATAAAAAAATATATGTTGTTCTGCAGAGGAAGAAAGTGCTTAAAGTGATCAAATTGCTTGTCTCCTAGGTCTTTACTCATACGTCTATCTAATTGTTACATACTTTCAGTATGTATAATAAAACAGCATATAGTGCTGGATGGTTCTATAAGGTACTTCTCAGTGTGTTCATAATATTTACCGCAGTGATATAAATCACAATTCAAGCAGCATCACAATGTCAAATCTTGTAAGTCATTTATAATCTATATACTTATATGTATGTATTTTACCAGGGCCAGTTCCGACCACAAGCTCCCCGTTATTAGTGACATCAACTGACACAGGACGCCAAATGCCGTCACTCATTGTCAAAATGTTACATAAAAATCCCCCATCTGAATCAAGGATAACCACCCTGTTATTACTGTAGTCAGCTATGAATATGTTTCCAAACTTATCTACGCACACTCCTCCTGGATAACTCAGTTGCCCGTCTTCACTTCCACTCTTACCTCGTACTCCGTATTGGAACATGACGTCACCCTGGGGTGTTACTGCATACACACAATGGGCACTGAAGTTACTGACTATGATTGCATTGATGCCATGGTGGTATGCACAACACAGTAAACCTTTACTGCACATTGGGATAGGATATCTGTTTACAAGTTGAGAATATTTCATGTCGTACACACAGATGCACTGTGCACTACTATCACACACGTGCACCTCGCACTCTGTACGGCCACTTGTAACACCCCTGGGGTCAGACATATCACCCTGACCAAAACACCGGATAGCCTGACCTGATAATGAATACAGTCTACAACATTTATCTTTGCCTGTGACAACAAATTTTTTGTTACTGACTTTAGTGATACACCTCACCCCTCCTTCTATACTGATCTCACGTTTGCATTGACCTGTGCTGGAGAATACGGACACTGTATCACCACAGAATTTGCCTCCGTGTACAACTAAAATACACCCGTCATCTGTGCACTGGATATCCCACAGGGTACCCTTAACACTAAAACAAATATTCCACTCTTGCCTATCAAGCCTAGTTTTCTTCTGAAAACATATCAGCTCGGGACAGTACGCTCTTTCTTGTTTCAAACTTCCAAAACATGCATCCAAGGGACCCCGGTATGTTTTGGCTATAATGAACTTCGTTTTGATAGACAACTTTAGTTCAGGGATTTTAGGAAACTCTAGCACAACGTCCATATTTGTTTGACCTGGTGTAAATGTTATGTCGGTAATCTTGGTATCAAAGACTGGTTCTAATGACTGTACTTCCTCAATTCTAGTTTGGAGTGTTTTAGAATGGGTCATGACCTCGGCGTCAGAACCGGTGTCTGTGAGCTGCTGAGCGAAATCACGAATACTCTGCATGGAAATCTTGTCCATTTCTTGCTTGTCCTTTTCAGCCTCTAAAGTCTTCACCTGCGTGGAGGTGAGTGCCTTAACTTCTGCCGTTATTTTGTTGCTTTTGTCATCTATAAATCTTGTCATTTCGGTGTAATCGGACTGTACTTTTGTTTCATAAGTTTCCAATTGCTGTTTGACGGTGGTCAAATATTCGTCCGTCTGTTGACGTACGTCATTCTCTACTTGACGGTAATAATCTTTGATTTCTCTTACAATAGTTTTACATATTCCATTTATCTCCTTAGTCATAGCTAATTTTTGAGAATCGACCAAACAAAGAGCCTTTGTCTGATTTTCTGTCAGCTTCTCTTCCGTTCTTACAATGGCTTTTTTCGCCCTTTCAAAACGAGACAGTTTCGCACTTGGGAGATATATCAGTTTTTGCTTTATGAGCTCCCGTTGAACATTCACCACATCCCCCAGTTTTTTGAAGTCGTGTTTTCTGTGAGTTTCCAAAATACAATCTCTACATGCCACGGTGTCATCCTCTTCACAATAGAATGTTAGCAACTCGCCATCGTGTTTGTCGCAGTATTGAGCTTTATCTAATACGTGACTTAACTGATCTCGTATGTTAGATGGGTTAACTGAAAAGTCGACTTTTGACATAGGTACAAAGCGATGTCCAGTTAATGCTGGGATGCTGTCGTGCAATTCACGACATGTAGTACACATTTGGTTGGTTTTGGGACAACCTTGACACTGCAAAGTGGCCTCTTTATGCTTACAATACTCACAAAGTCTACCTTCTGGCGCTTTCTGATCTTTCATGAAGTCTGTTACTTTTCTTAGAAAGAAGTTTTTCACGAGAGTTTCGAACCCACCTGGTGGTACGGGGGCCTCTTGGCGACACACGGGACAGGAAAACTTGTTCTGGACACCATTCTTGGCTGCATGGTCAGCAATGCATTCCAGACAGAACGTGTGGTAACAGGGGAGCACTCTCGGGTCTTTATATTCCTCCAGGCATATATGACACGTTAAAAATTGCTCACTGAATACGCTGCACATCTCTTTCGAAGCCATTGCCATGGTATAGGCGCCCAGAGTGGGCACAGCGCCCCGCCCCCTACACGCCGGCCTTCCCGCTCTATTGCTAATAAAGCCGTTGCGCACGCTTTATATATCATAAAATATAGTGCTTTAAATTTGTCAACAATCAGGTGATGTCGAAATCTACATAGTCAGAACGCCGCCCAACCCTACTGTTATATACCGCATGTTACTAAATCTGATGTTTTGTTTGATAAAGTTATCTACACACATCACGATCAGGGTGATATCAGCGTGATTTATCAGTAACATGCTGCTAGCAGCGGTGTGCCGGGTGTTCCTGTGTGTTTGTTGGGGGGGGGGGGGTCGTCACTTTTAATGAGCCCGATATGAATTCGTATTTGGCTTGTCATCAAGTCAAATATGATTTGATACCTGGTGGCTTCACCAACCATAGTTGCACAAGAACAGGAATAAAAGTTACTAATTCGTGGCGCAATGTTCGTAGAGGACAATAAATACCTGGCTTGCAATGTTCTCACTTTTCCCGCGTCAAAACCATAGATGAGGTCTTTTCATATCTCCTCGCACTTGTTTTTTGACATTTTGAAATGGGCAGTTATGACTAAAATATTTCTAAGATTGACTCAGACATTCATTGTGTGTTAAGACAAAACCCAAGGATAAGTCTATGTGAGTTCATTTCTTCAGAGCGTGGAATAGATCTCTCTCAAGGCAACTGTCGACTACACAGTAATTTAGACATGAGACAAAATAAATAAAAGATAATTAACTTGAATTCTTGCAAGATGTTTTTTGTAAGTAATTCTGTTCTTCAAGAGACTGGCCAATGTCGTAGATCAGTTTGAGAATATTCCAATACTCTTTGTGTGCAGTTTTATTTCTTCGATATTCTCAAATGAAAAAAAAAATTCGTTTACAGGCATACCAATCTTTTGAACAATGCATTGATTTACAACGTACTAGGAAATTAATTCGAGCCAAAAGTTAAGTTCCCCAGGCAAAAGAGTACAAATGTACTTTTCACACATTTTAATCAAGAACTTTATATAGACATCCAAGGAGGTGTGCGCGCCATGTTATAATAAAACACACATCAATGAAACTTGTTTTCCTCTCAAAGCTCATATAATGACCTAGATGTCTGTCCTTAATGCAAACTTAATAATAATTGCATGACTACAGTGCTCTGATAAAACGGAAGAACGAATTCGCCCAGGTGCATAAAATGTTGGGTATGTTCAACTGTTCATGCACGGTATGGGATTTAATGTAAGGTGAGACATTGCTTTCTCTATCATGTTTGGCCGCCTTTTCAGAATATTATTTTAAAGTCGTTGTGTTTTGCATTAATGCAGATATGTTTTCTCTCTCTCTCAAATAAATATTACAGAACTTTTTTTCATTCGTCCATACGTCATCGTGTCATTTTAATAAACACCAATGCATTATTTTGGGAGAACACTTTGGTTACTGTGTATGTGGCTGTAACGTATGGTGACATGCATGGGCGGGTCAAAAAAAAAAAAAAAAAAAAAAACCTGGACACAAAACCTGCTGACCTGTATACCAACATATCACATAAAGGGTGTGGGCAACTGAAAGCCCGGGCCAGTAATAAGTGCACGAGTTCTGTAGGCAGAAACACACAGAAAACCACTCGTTCATGCATAAAACCAACTATGGCTAATAAAGTCATGTTTCTACTGACAAAGGATGATGAAAATTGTTCTCTCAACGCCGTCTGACTCTGATTTTAGAGTCAGATTGACTCCATGAGAGCCAGGGGGTGATTGACTGATAAGAGAGACTAAAGACTCTGGTAGTGGGGTTATTTGACCATTATATAGGAGTCAAATTAACTCCATGAGGGTCAAGGGGTGCTGGACTCTGACTAGAGAGTCAAATGACTTCAATTTTATTCTCAGTGCTTGTGTAATGCTTTGAAAGGCGCCAGAAGTGTTGACCAACATCTGCTTTGACAGTTTGCCAGACATGCTGCTAGTGGAAAAGTACGTCGATACGGTTCCTGATCAAGTAATATAACAGCGCGTACAAATGTCTATAAATGTCACTTTTGATGCAATGTTGTTAAAGTATCGTATAAACACTTCACCTTCACGACATGGACGCTGCTCTAAGGTAAGCTCTGCTGCAAGGGATTATAAAAAAATACGGGCTTAGAGAATAATTCATTAATAAGTTTTGCTTAATTTGGAATACTTTTAATCGTGTTTTTTTAAATGTAGTTTTATGAGGCGAAAATGACCAAAACTAAAACAAACCAAACTGTAATCTTTAAATTTCATTTAAAAGGGAAAACATGTTGTAGCCATGATACCCCAATGGAAAACACGATACCGACGATTAAAGAAAAAAGGTTGGAAACGCTGGATAATCGCTAAGATTTAACTGTAGTACATGTGGATAATTTTCGAAAAATGTTAACTTTTCAATTATTTTCTTCATATTTACGAACACACTGCCCTCGACCGCGTCCAGTTCTATCCGCCCTCACTTGAATTACGTATAAGCTGTTTCCACTGTATGATGTAATGTGTTACAATGCTTTTTTCCCACCATTCAGGGAGGTTGTAACTTGCCGTGACACTGGCCTAGTCGCAGTCGTTATTACTTGGCGTTTGTTTATCAAAGCCTTGTATTGTGTTTGCGCCCCGAGCCCAGTTTTATCAATACTTTGGATGAAATTGTTATTCTCTAGACATTTATTTTGGGGATAGCAGCCCTTTTAACCACTCTAAAACAAAATCATAGACACAAATAAGTATATACTGGTTAGTCAACATTACTTAACCCACATATACCCCAGAATAAATTTCTTAGAGGATAACAATTCCATCCAACGGACAGTGTCGTCCAGAGGATAGCGCTATTCAGTGTTGATGGAATTGGGTCAAGGTGATTAGACGGGAAAATAATTCTTAAAGCTCAGCATGACAGTTCACGGTGTGCATCGGCCTTTAAATTTAAGCCGAGATAGAAAAGGGATTTTTTAAACCACTAGAGCCTTCATCTCGCTGTACCAGTTAGAGCATATTGTTATTATTCCAAAGTGTTATCTTGTGCTTCTCTGCAGCACCCGGGTGTGGTTCTTTGTGTCTTTTCTCGGCCAGATAGGACTGGCAAACGCTGGGCAATATTACTATTACAAAAGCCGCCATGACACCTGCGCTAGGAAAGCCACGCCCTGCTACGACTATGCCCTGACTTTCCTTATGGACGGAAGCAGCGATGATTTCCTTGGCAACAACCGCAGCAAGATTTTGGCTCATCACCAACTGGCAGGGAGAAGTGAGGCGGACGCCATTCAAGAGGGGAAAATGGCGACCGCATGGCTGAAGGTAGAGTACATTCATTTCGTGTTCTTTTATTTGCTGACTGAAATCAGAACCGAGTGATGTTGTCTGACGATCAGGTTGCTTAATCAAGGTTTCAATCGTTTGCGTTGATATGGTACCTTACTGTTATTTTTCCAAACGGCGACAAGAATTCTCCTGATTGTCGTCCCAAATTGATCCTTTTCTGAATACATCTTCATGGTTTCCGACCATTAAAACATCTTTGAAGGAGTGCGTAAACTTTTGGCTATAATCCGCGTTTAATGATGATTAGATAGTGTGTAGGTAACAGAAAACATTAAAAGAAATTAAGATGGCTGTCAAATGCTAGTAGAAAACTAGCTGAGTGAGCTCCCGTGTTTTAAATATCACCCAAGAATGAGAGTTCACCGAGAAAGAAATCTGAAAAAATATGGAATGTGGTAAGTTAACACTGTCCACATAATCTCACGCCTTATTTCAAATTAACACATTTCAATGTTTTTCAACCCACCCAGACGTGTGTCAACTTCCGCTGCTCTTCTTTCAGACAAAATACGGCATTGACTTCACCGGTGTAGAGGATGACGTCTACTTAGATGGCACCAAGGCGGTAACAAGCGATGACGTCACACTAACCTTCAGAGCCTTCATAGTGGACTCTGCTACCAGGAACCGGTTTGTGTCGGCCAGCAAGGGACACAAGGTGGAGTTCTTTAACGCCCCGATTTCTGAAGCAGGTGCAGTTATTTTTGAATCCCGTTATTGACCATGTGCATCATATGTTGCTGTTTGTTGTCTGTAAACCACACCTATACTACTTGTACAACTACATGTTCTACTACTACACAAGCACACACACATACGTAAATTGACACAGATATACACCAGTCCATATATGCCCGCAAACAAATTCACAAAGCAGCATGCAGAAACACACACACAAACACACATATACGCACTCACATACACACAAACATGTATGTGTGTGTGTCTGTGTTTGTGCGTGTAAACATACATACACAGATACTTATCATCATGATTAACTCACGGATGAGAAAATACGTAAAATGAGAAAATAGCTTGCCTAAATATTCCCGCGGAGATATTCTGTTATCATTTCAATCGAGACACTGTAATGTACCGCAGATCATGTAATTTTCATTGGAATAATCCTTAATATAGATATATGCTTTAATAACGTAAAGTATATATATATAGCAACCAATTCTTCAGGTTGGATGGTCACGGTGAACGAAGCCATCTCTGCTGGCGGTACCTTTAACAGGACGCTGCCTCGGGGTGCCATGATCTTCTACGGTGATTTTGTCATCCCCCTTTGTGACCGCACTGGGATGAAGAGTAACAGCAGAATGAATAAAAACAACTATTATTCATGCCGAAATATCTTCAACCAGAAAACTCTCAAGATCCACTACGAAAGTGGCAAATACTGTTCAAGTGTCGACGGCGTCAGCGTTATTAACAATGTCGTCAATGAAACGTCGTGGGGGGTCGGCTCAGCACGTGGCTCCTTGTTTGTAGAAGGTAATAAATACTGTGGTCGCAGCGTGTTCACTTTTCCCGCGTCAAAACCATAGGTGAGGTGTTTTTATAACACCTCGCACTTGATTTTTGACATTTTGAAATCGGAAGAACTTTAACAAAAATGCTTGTAAAATTGACTCATACATCCATTGCGTATAAAGACAAAAGCCAATGATGAGTCTCCGTGAGTTCATTTCTCCATAACTACGGATATATGACTCTCAAGGCAACTGCTGACTGATACAGTAATTTGGCGATTAGACAAAATGAATAAAAAAGTTGATTAACTTGACATTCCTGCAAGATATTTTCGTGAGTCATTCTATCCTTCAAGAGACTGGCCACTTCCGTAGATCAATTTATGGGTATATTTCAATACTCTGTTTTATTTCTCCGATATGCTCAATGTTTACATTCATACAAATCTTAAGAACAATGTACCGTTTAAATTAAAAGAGCATTGATTTACAACGTACAAGAAAATAATTCGAGCCAAATGTTCAGTTGCCCAGGCAAAAGAGTAAAAATGTACTTTTCACTCACTATAGTCTAGAACTGTACATAGTCAGCCAAGGAGATGTGCGCGACATATTACAATAAAACGGACATCAATAAAACTAGTTTTCCTCCAAAAGCCAATATAATTACCTATGTGTCTGCCCTTAATGCAAACTTAATCATAATTGCATGACTACAGTGCCCTGATAAAACGGACGTACAAAGTCAGCAAGGTACATTAATTGGTGTTCAACTGCTTCTGTACCGTCCAGATATGCAATGGGGTTTTATGCAAGGTTAGTGGTTGCTTTCTCTATCATGTTTGAACGCCTTTTCAGAATATTTAAAAGCAGTAGAATAGATTATTTTATTTTTTAAAGTTGGTGTGTTTTGCATTAATGCAGATATGTTCTCTCTCTCTCTCTCTCTCTCTCTCTCTCTCTCAAATAAATGATACAGCACTTTATTCATACGTTCATGCGTCATTGTGTCAGTTTCATAAACACCAATACATTATTTCAGGAGAACAATGATTCTCTCTTTGGTTGCTGTGTACGTGGCTGTAACGTATGGTCCAGGCGTGAACAGCTACGGCCTTTACAACCCCGGGGTAAATATGCAATTCTACAAGTACGGGCCTTGGTTTAATCACCCGACCACGTGTCAGAAACCAGAAACGCCGTGCTACAACTATGTTCTAACATTTGTCATGGACGGGTATGCTAACTTAACAGACGCCGGAGGATCCCGCAGCAATATTTTGGCTATCACCGATTGGCTAGTCGCTCTGAGACAGACGCCATAGAGGAGGGAAAGAGAGGAACCGCATGGCTGAAGGTAAAATTTTGCTTTTTTACCACCCACTGTACTCTCTCTCTCTCTCTCTTGGAATATTGACCAAATCCTCATTCCGAAGATATATGGACATTTCAGTTCATCGTTATTAGACATATTTGAGCATTATTGGATTGTCTTTGTACGGATTGTACATGTTTACACCACACACAAGATGGAAATCCCGACAGTTTAAAATTTGCCCAGGTAGATTGGAATCGAAATTTGCAGACAATTTCAGATAATGATTATATTAATCACATCTCTAATATAGCCATTTTAGTCACAGATTAGATTCTATAATTCTTCTAAGAACATACAGCTATTTTATTGTTAGCTTGCATATGGGGAAATAAAAAGCATTTATTATTATTATTATTATTATTATTATTATTGCCTCTAAGATGTTTTTCTAGGGTCTGTATGACAATCCTGTATGTGTTTTGACATTTTAGTTTTTAAAAAGGTTTTAAATCTGCCTGAAAGTCAATCTTGCTCGTGGCACATACATATATAGTACTACTAGTTAACGTATAAATGAAGGTGCTGTTAATTTATGATTCCTCTGAATATTACTATACTTGTCTATATTTTAAGAAAAAATACGGCATCGATTTCACTGGGATACCGGACGAAGCGTACATAGATGGCACCAAGGCAGTGACCATTGAAAATGGCGCCTTGACATTCAGCACACTCCTTCTCCCACATGCCGCCAGGTACAGGCTCGTGACAGCCAGTAGGGGAGAAACTGCCGAATTTTTCAATCTACCCTTGTCTGACTCCGGTAATTTGAATTTTCTTTTTTTTTTTTTTTTTTTTTTGGGGGGGGGGTCTAGTTGGTGAGGACCCTCAGGATAGATCAAGTTGGAGAGGAAGACTGCGTGTAAGATTGGCCCCACCCTCTGTTGAGGATTAATCCCGGCCAGTATAAAATAAATTCGTATGATGATGATGATGATAATTCTTTTTAATGTTCTGTATAGATATGTAAGAATTCAGATTTAAGTATCTTCTGCCGGGCTGTTTTTAATGACGCAATAATTAATTAATTGTTCGCATGATACAGGCCTAGATAAGACGGCTTCGATCATACTCCAGAAGCCAATCTTTAAATGCATTTGACACTGGCATGTTTAATAAAATTTCGCCTCAAAAAAGGGTGTTTTCATGTCTTCAGGTTGGATGGTTACAGTTAATGAACAATTCCAAGCAAATGGCACGTTCAACAGTCTCCTCCCTAAAGGCGCAATAATATTCTTTGGTGATTACGTCATCCCGTTGTGCGATCACGTGACAAGACGACAAGCCCACTTCCGCTCTCCATGCTACAATATATTTCGTAAGACCAATCTAATCATCCATTTTGAAAGCAAGACATATACCTCTCTTGGTGGCACCACTGTGATAAATCTTGATGTGAAGGAGGGTTCTTGGGGGAATGGCGTGGCACGAGGAGTGTTATTTACTGAGCCGGATAATAAACTGAGTGCTAGAACCGTGCTCACTTTTCCAGCCTCTCGATCATGATTTCGATATACGCGAAGAAAAATGGGAAACAATTGGAACAATGAGAAACTGCTTGGTGCATCCAACACAAACGAAATTCCATAGTTAGTTATACTGGTACATGAACAGCTACAGTTTTAGTTAAACTTTGGAAGCAGTGTCAAAGGATCTTATTAAAGCTGGATATACTTCTCTGGAAATGAGAGTTATTTAAGAATATAAACGTTTTGTGAGTACATAAATCAATCAAAAGCACCTGTGGCGTCAATTCACAAAATGAAGCACACAGTCCTGTTTTATAGATTATTTTCCTCGCTTGGCAAAATTACCTGCAGAAGGTAAAGCGTCAGTTTGTTGGATACTACAATTATATTAGCAATATTAAGAGAAAGGGTTTTACTTCCTTGATAACCACGTACGTGCACCTCCTACTGAACAGCCCATAACATCCATGTACCTAGAGCTCCCTTAAATATCTAAACCTGCGCTTTCCAGGCACTTTTCAGAAATATAAATGTCCAAATGCTGCCTAACTGCAACCAATGGTTTAAATATGTGTTTACATAACCATTTATCATTTATCATTTATCGCCTTTCCTCCATGCTAGGTGGTCAGTGGACAGCTGCTCTGAAATTTCCGGGAACGTGAATAAAAATTACAACGCTTTGTATGTCTTTAATGTTGATTGGTATGGTTAAATGGTATTAAAATTCAATTTGTTTTAACTGGGGGTACATGCGGAGGTTGGATATACTGATTGGGTGCTGTGTTGGTTTCACAGAGGGACAAACAAGCAGAAAGACACACAGACAGACAGACATATTTATCTGTCTCGATTTTGAATTGTCTTGCCACTAGCCACTAGCGTCAACCTGGAGGCGTTCTTCGAAAAAAATTTGCTTGGGGCGCTTCCATATTTGGAAGTCTCGTGCGTCACATTTGTATTCGCCTGAGCTCCATATTTGGAAGTCGTACACACACTGGACAATAGAAGTGTCACCCCCTAACTCAGAGTAATAAAAGTAGGCAGATCTTGGGTAGTTATAATGCCTGGTCTACTTATAATGTGACTAATGAGTATAAAACCGCTATACCATGGAATTGTATTGTTGGTCTTGTACATGTACAGCAAATGTTATTCCTGTCTTCCTCCAATATGGCAAGATACAGGCAATTATCTAACGGTTATAGGTGCAAGTTATTAACCTGAAGAGGCGGAAAATAAGCAATGTCAGAATATCGATACAGTTGAATTGTTCAGTCAGAACCGTGCAGAGGGTCTGGTCTTGGTATAGAAACACTGGATCAAGAGACAAATTGCCTCTGATGGGTCGTCCAAGAAAAACTACTGGCCGTGAAGACCGACGACTGATTTTGATGTCCAGGTTGTCAAAGTTCGACACTGCTTGTCAGTTGACAACACAGTGGAACAATTTCACACATAAGAATGTGTCTGTGAAAATTGCTAGGCGTCGGTTACATGCCCATAGAGTGTACAGCAGTAGCAAGACTGAAACCTCTTATATCGTTACAAAACAGGCAACGTAGAGTGAACTAGGGTCAACAAGATCTGGAACTGGACAGTCCATGACAATTGGTCCTATATATATATATATATATATATATATATATATATATATATATATATATATATATATTTTTTTTTTTTTTTTTTTT